GTCCTTGAAAAAGGGCAGTTTGTGTCAGAGTTCTCTCAGCCCCACCCACCTCACAGGGTGCCTGTTGTGGGGAGGGGAAGGGAAAGGAGTTTGTAAGCCGCTCTGAGACTCCAAGTGAAGAGCGGGGTATAAATCCAATCTCTTCCTCTTCTTCTTCTTCTTCTTAGAAAGCATTACTAACAACAAAGCTAGTGGAGGTGATGGTATTCCAGCTGAGCTATTCAAAGTCATCAACTATTAATCTTGACCAAGATGTGTATAGCTTTGGTATAGATTGTTGATCTTCATACATCGTAACATCATTTTTATCCCACAAGGTAAAATGCTGGTGTGCGACAAAGGAAGAAGAAGGACTAGCTGTTAACTCAGTGTTAGGGTGCACTTTATATCTGTAAGGTTCTAAGCAGCAGTAGTGTAAAGATATTTGCACAAGATCCAGTGGGCTAGATTGTCAGAACCCACAGCTAACAATGAAGTACACACATTTCTGGAACGGTTATACTTTTAATGCAAAGCTGTAGATGCAGTAACATAGGCACTGTTAAGAATGGCGGCGACCCATAGAGCGTACTGGGATATAGGGTATTCGTATGCACCCTCCCCCCGGCATGGGCCAATTAGGTCCCCTCCCGCGCGCGGGATAACTTAGGAAACCGTTAGTTGACTGAAGCTGGGAATTAGGAGTCTCTCACGGTAGAGAGGAAAGCTCCAGACAACACAAACTCCTCCTGCACATCTGTGGAGATAAGCGTTTCAGGCAAAGCAGAATAGCAGGGATAGGAAGGCAATAGAAAGAAACAAGACACAGAATGAACTCCCCAACCCCCATGGCAGCATAGCTGACATAGATGGACCAGTGATCTGGCATAGTATAATCCCATATGTGTTTAAAAGGCTGTTCCAGGAAGCATAGGAATCTAATTCAAATTCCTGCTTCTCCAAAAGCCTCTTTGGCTGTCAAATATAGTCTTTGCATCCATTCATTAAGTTAAGCCACGGCTTAACTATGAGCCCCAATGCCTGCTTCTTATAGGCCACATTCTGCTATCTGAGTTATTACCTGAGCCAGTAAAGCCAGAGTGTTCTCTCCAGGTAGCTTGGCAGAAGCTCCGTTTTTCTTACATTTGGTCTTCTTTGGAATACCTGTTGTTGTGTGTTTTGTGATTTAGAACTGCAAAAGTATGAAGGAAACACTCTCTGTTGGGCACAGTGTACAACTGGTCTCTTCCTGCTGTACTAACGCACTCTTTGCAAATAAAGCCACAGAAATGACTAAGATATTAATATCAGCTGTGCTTGTTACATACATGAGTTGGTCATTTGTGCTCACTAAGAGAAATCAGAGACAGGAGGGCCTGGCGTGATGTGGTCCATGGGGTCGCGAAGAGTCGGACTCGACTGTGCAACTGAACAACAACAAAAGAGAAATCAACAGAACCAGTTATGTTCTGATTCCCAAAAGCTCCTCTGGGCAGCTGGAGGCAATTCTTACTTTCTATAACTGCACATCTGGCCGCCTAATCACAAAAAAATTGTACAGCCATATTTGCCATATTGTCCATACAAAATTCCAAAACAAGAACAAAAACCATGTAATACCTTTTCTTAGGACCAAACAAAAGTACACAAAACATTGTGCAAGTTTTCATGCTCACCAGAGCTCTCATCAGGCTAGATGTTACAAGGTTTAAAAAGGTAAATGTCAGTTTTATCAGGCCATTATCTGGTTTATTTATGACTAGGAAAAAGGCTCGTTGTGGAAATAAATACAACGGCCTCTAGAAAGAGGCTCTGGGCGGGTGCCCCGGCCTTGGGCACTTAGTGTCAATTTGCTGTGGCGACCTCAGCAGGGTATAATGACAGAGTCCACCATTTTCTCCAGAGGAACTGATTTCTGCTACCTAAAGAACAGTTGTAATTTTGAGTGATCTCCAGCCCTCACCTGGAGACTGGCAACAATGGTTCCCCAGAAGGGAATAGTTGGTTTGGAGG